GAGGCAGGATGAGACTGATTAAATGGGTTGGGACGGCCAGCTCAGTGATACTCAAACCCGTGGAAATCTATTGAATCTGTGGGTGAGAAGAAGATGCTCGCCGAGCTGACCTATCATGGACAGCCCTTCTGTGCAGCGCTATCGGGGCTCTGAACTGATCATTTGCTACGGTTCATAGACATCCGGTAGAGACCATGGGTCATAACTTGGTCTGATTTCTGTTCCGTGCCATGGGAAAACAATAACATATTAGATTACCCCAAATGATTCCATACTTTTACAGATAAGCTAAGTTTTTACACAAAATGAATCGACTTTACACAATTTCAGATGAATTGGACATTGCAACTAAGTTACTTACATTTTATTGTGTCACATTTGATAAAGCAGTTTTTTTAAATCAGGTTTTTTTATCAGTTTGTTGAATAATGTAGTTCATATCTGTTTGATGTGAGCAATTACAACAGAGTTTTACATCTCTTTTAACTCATGATGCAGTGTGACTCAGTCAGCTGACAGTGACACACAAACATTCTGCACAGCAGCAATAAACTGGCACTCCTATATAGCACATTTTAAAAGTCAAGCAATCGCCATAAAATAAAAGGCCAGATTGCGTTACATTGAGCAAAAAGAGTCACTGAGATGAGCAGCCAACTTTGATTTATTTTCCACTTCTATTGTTTCTTCCTCCAAAGAAGTAAAGTCATCTTGGCCACATAAACTGGAAAGCAAACCCCTGTGATATTTGTTGGTCCCCTGTGCCTTTCCCCAGTCAGTTTGCAAGGCAAGTAAACGCATCATAAGGTGAGACAGCCCAGCCTGCACATGTGCAACAAAAGTAGCCTTGTGTGTCAGTTGTGTCTCTACTAAACACACACTTTTGGGGGCAGACGGGGTGGAGTTTGCAAAACGTCAACTCAACTTTTTACAGCACGTTTCATTCTATATCATGTCTAAAAACAACAACAACAAAACTAAAAAAGCTGCCCACGGATTTTGACAAACTGTGTCTTTTTCTCTTGTTTTATAACTTAATAAGAGATGTGCAGATTTGAAGTAAATCACACAAACGAACAGCAATCCGTGCGTTTCATAAAATAAAAAAAAGAAGAAAGCACATTTGAAACTTCACCGAATATCTTAAAAATCAACTCTGCAGCTAGGCCAAGTCCAACACGACAAACAGAACGGACAAAATACTCAGTTGGCTTCGTAAAATTGAGCTGTTTCAACACAAAACTAAAAAAAATTGCAGATCGGATCAACTTCCCGACACCTACGCACGAGCGCCGCTGCTTCAGCGGCGACGATCAAAGAGTCACGCAGCCCTGTTTGATCTTTGCAAGACCCATTAGTTTTTTTTGCTTTATGCTGTTTGGAAGCGAAACATTGCCAAATTTGAGTATTTTTTTTTATTTAAATCAATGTCCAGAGCAGTCCTAACTCTGCCAACATTCTGTGCGAGCCCGCCTGTTTTTCCCACTCCCATCTTCTATCAAAATATACCAAAGAATGCGGTAGCAATGTGTGTAATACGACATCAAAATGCACGCGAAAGCAGCACTACAACTGAATTGAAGCGTTTCTAACGTTGTGGGTGTCATGTTGTCTAACATAGACACGCACAAAGTAACACAATAGTTACATTCTAGGGGTAGAATGACAGAGTTCCTCCCATAACGTTCTGACAGTGTTTTGGTTGATTTTTTTCATTGAGGAAACTGGAAAAAAAACATTTTAAAAAGTCTCGTCATTTACTTACCCAAACTGTTTGTGGAAGAATCCATGAGTCGAGGTTGAAATTGTGACCAGTTTCTTCTGCAGGTAGAGTGGGCGCTAAAGTGTGTTTTCCATGCTGAGAGGAGTGTCACACACAGGCGGCTTGTGTCAATTGCATAGTTTCGCGAGAAAACCGGAAACGTATCCCCCGCCCCCCCTGTTAATAAAGCTATTAAATCATAACCCCACCCCCTCAGAAAATATAATTTTGAAAAAAACGATTTTAATATAAAACTTGATATATTATAACGCATAATAACTTTTTTTTTTAAGTTCACAACGTCTTTGAGGGGACTGACATCGTCTTCCGGAAGCCCAGTGGCCTTGTTAATGACTAACTTTCCCGGTGACTGTGACTAAACGACAGTATTTTAGATAAAGACAACCAGAAAATCTTGGCAATAAACCACTTTAAAATCAATGTCGGCCCTGTTTTGTTGGTGATGTGTCTGTCTGTGCATTTACAGGTCTTTGTCGCCATCCAACGACACTGTTGAGAAGTGCACCAGCTCCCTGGAGACAACGCTAACCGGAAGTGGCTACAAGAAATGGCACTTCCGGTGGCAGCCAATGGCACACAACGATAGATTAACATACATCATATTATTTAAATATTGAAGGATATATCACTAAATATCAAAGTGGTTTTCGGAAAGAATGCAACTATATGTTTGAAACATAAAATTAGGAGAGCAGAGGTAAATAAAGAAAGTGTTGTTGCAGTATTTTTGGACAAAGAATAAGCACATGAAGAGGGTAGAAGGCGCTTTAATTGAAATGTATAAATTAGGTATTACTAGTAAAATGTTTAATTGGATTAAGAATTTCTTATCAAATAGAACCAGAATATGTCAACATCTTCTTTGCTGTTGAAAATTGAACACCAGAAGAAAGCATTACTGTTTTCCATAATGATTAATGAGATGTTTACATAAATTGAAAAAATGATAATCTGCTCATTATTCTCAGATGGTGAATCTGTATTTTTTTCATAATATAAGAAAAAAATGGAGTGAAAATCTTGAATTTAAAACAAGATGTTATCAATAAAATAAAGTAATGAGGAATATGGTTTTAAATTTTCAGTTGCCAAAAAAAGAAGTAATGGTGTTTATCAAAAAAATAATTGCAGAGGGAAGTAATTTTATATAATCAAGAATTTAAAATGGAATATAAATATATGAAAAAAATGGATAAGAGTCAGAGAGTTTTAAATGTAAAGAAGTGTTTAATGGGAAATTACTGGGGAGCAGATATAAGGGAATTTAAAAGAATGTACATGTGATTAATCAGGTCAAATATAGATTATGGAATTATAGTATATGGGTCAAGCAGCAAAAACACATCTGGACAAATTAGATAACATTGAACATTGAGCATTAGGATTTTGTGCAGGATCCTTGAAAATCACACCAACACTCCACTTACAGTGGAGATGGGATAAATGCCATTAGAATGAAGAAAACCACAACTGTTATTAGGTTATTGGATCAATTCACAAGGAAATACACCAGATCACCCAACATAAGAAACGCTAAAGCCATGTTGGGAAAAGGAAAAACGAAGAAAATCTGAAAATTTGGGTGTAAGAGTAATAAGAAAACAGAAGAAGCACAAATAAGCAATCATACAATTAGTCTAACAGGACCATTATCAGCTATACCACCATACATTTTACCAAAGTAGATTAAACACTTTTGGGTACAAAGTAGGAGAAAGGATTAAATTGATATACATTACAGTAATATGTAATCAACTACCATAATCTATAAACTACTATATAATCATGTTAAGACATACACAGATGCATGAAAAATTTTAAACGGGATAAAAGAAATTACATTCATAATACCAGAATTTCAGATAGCACAAGGGAAACAAATGACTTGTGAGTATGTACCTGAGAAATTTTGACAATATCATTACCAGTTCAATGGATAGAAAAAATAAAACCACCAAGAACAATGGCATGTTCAGATTTCTAATTAAACATTTATCAATCTACAGCAGTCATTTGGAAAGCCGACCAGCAAGTATTCTTCCGAATTCAAATTATTGGATTCGAAGTTAGATTTTTATGGGTATCGGCACATATTGGAGTTGAGGGAAATGAGATAGTGGATCGAGTGTCAAAAAAGGCAAAAACAGGAGGAATCAACTTGAGTGTAACCAAAGTAAACCAGAGGCAAGAGGCATAATTAAACAAGAACTTAAAAAGAAGTGTCAGAAAGAATGGAATGAAGAGAAAAAGTAAAATGTAACATTAATATTCGAAAGAGAGTGCAAGAGATGAGAACAGGAAGGAGAAATAGAAGACAAGATCAATTAATAACAAGATTGAGATTTGGTAACACTTGACTCAATTATGGATTATTTATAATGAGTAAACATGATGCAGGGAAATGTCAAGATTATTGCAAATTTGAAACAGTAGATCACGTCATTTTTACTATGTTGGAGACGTGAAAAAGAAAAAGGCTTATGTTGGAAGAATTTAGGGAAAAATTAAGAAACATTTGATATGATAAATATGCTTGAAGGAGGTACAGAAAGTAAAAGCATTCGAATTTTGATTATGTTTTCAAGAGGACAAAGTTGAATAACAGAATTGTATTATTAATCACAATTATTGGATGAAATAGAGATTTTGGCCGGCAATGCACCAGTAGGTGGTGGTAATGCAAACCAAATTGTTGGCTAAACGCCAATAAGATCAAGGAGAAGAAGAATTGAGCTCGGCCTTTTTCCTCTGACTAAACACTATTAGAACCTCTAACCTGAAACAAACATACATCTTTACTCTGATCTGGTTTATTCTATGATTTCATTGCACTGGTTGAATACAACAAATTATATATTTTGCCTTCTTGGTTTTAATGATTTAAATGGTTATAAACTCTTTTGCTATGTTTTATTGCAACTTTTCCTCCTTAATGAAAAGGTTAGTGAAAGGCTAATTAAGTAATAACTATCGTCTTAAAAGGTGCTGAAATCCCCCAATTTAAAATTTACTTTTGAGAGACTATATATGACTACGTTGTATCGAACGTAAAGAATATACCGAGCACAATGTCTTGCGGAACAATAATCTGTGCTCATGTTTCTTGCGGCTGGCGGAAGGAGATCTGTGCACACACAGGATGTTCCGCCGGCTGCATAACATGGAGGCGTCCACGGAGAACGAGTTGTGAAGGAGACTGAATTCCTAGTGTATTTGTCTGAAAGGTTGGCAATAATTATTCATTTCTCTAGTGAGCTTTGCATGTAGTTGGGTTACAAAAAATGTATGTATCTGACAATACATGTATGACCTTTGTTGTAATAAACGACCTTATTTATCCATGTAAAACTTAGTTAAGGATTATCCCCATCGCGGTTTTCTTGCTTGAACAGACATGAACACGCGCGTGTGTCATATCTAAGCTGTTTTTTCGTTGAGGAATTTTTTGTGAAGTTTGCCCATGTGTTGTTAATTTTGCTAGCACCCCTGGAGCGGCTTGGATGGAGCAACAATGACGTGTTCCCGCTGCCTCCTGCGGCTTCAGAGTTTCCGGCTGCTCGAGTTCGGAGCCCAGCTCCTGTCTCCCGGTTCCATCCAGGCCAAAGTGTATTATAACCCACGCCACCAGGTGACCCTTATTCTGTGCTTTTTCACTCAAAATCAATTGCTATTGGTTTAATAAATGGCTGTAACCCAGATACTAACCAATACCACACAAGTAAATCATATAACAAAACAACTTAATCTGTTTTAGCCTCTTGCTGCGTTACAATTTCAGTGTGCAAGTTATGACACTGATAATGACCATACATGTTATTTAAAATAACTTAACAGCTCCCTTTTTATTCATCATTTTGAATTAAGACTGCAAAAAATAGCTATTTACATATACAGTGGGGGAAACAAGTATTTGACCCCTTGCTGACAAAGAATGCAACGATCTATAACTTTAATCATATGTACATGTAACAGTGAAAGACAGAATCCCAAAGAAAATTCCCTGAAAATCACATCATATAAATTTATAAAAATTGATAACTGTCTGATGGGGAAAAATAAGCGTTCTTAGTAAGTGGGCAAACCTGCAAAATCAGCAAGGGGTCAAATACTTATTTCCCCCACTGTACACAATATTGCTCAGAGTCAAACCTCTTTCTCTGTCTTTATCTGAGACCATTGCAATAAAGGCCTAACAAATTCCTTTTGATATTGTGCCAGGCAGTCCTGTGACATTTCCACTTCTATTTAGCTCTTTTTCAGTCGCCAAGATTTATTTTTATTCACAGAAATCGAAAGTGTCTGTTTCTGTGACACATATCCCAACCTTATCTTCACTTTTAGGTGCTGAGGCACTTGCAGAGCAGCCGAGCATGCGCGAAGAGTCGGACTACGCCCGCCCGCTTTGTCGACGAGGAAGAAAAGAAAAGGGAGAATTCCCTGGTGACTCATGACTTGTTTGAGCAAGTGGCCAGGGAGTCCAAAACCAAGGCCACGTTTAACAAAGTGATCGAAGTGTTCATCAAGAGAGACATAAGGCGTCGGGGTCACGTGGAATTTATCTACGCCGCGCTGAAGAAGATGCCTGAATTTGGCGTGGAGAGAGACCTCGTTGTGTACAACAAACTCCTGGACGTTTTTCCGAAAGAGGTGTTTGTGCCCAGGAATTTCATCCAGCGGATGTTCAACCACTATCCCAGACAGCAGGAATGTGGAGTTCAGCTTCTGGAGCAGATGGAGAACTACGGTGGGTGTCTCCTGCTTTTTCTCCTGAAACATCACGTGGTTGAGAAAATGTTATTCCGAGTATAATTTCCAGACTCAAAGTGTTCTGGTGATATGTCAGGCGGGATATTTCCACTGGTTTGAGTTGAAATGTGACTCCTTGTGCCTCAGGTATAATGCCCAACGTTGAGACCAAAGTCCTGCTGGTCCAGATCTTTGGAGAGAAGGGCCACCCTGTGAGAAAGTATCAACGTATCATGTACTGGTTCCCCAAGTTCAAGCACATAAACCCCTTCCCCATCCCTCAGCAGCTGCCTGAAGACCCAGTGGACCTGGCACGCTTTAGCCTGACTCGCATTGCCAACGACCTGGATGCTAAAGTCACCGTGTACCAGGTATAGCTACATTAGATCTGCTTAATTGAATTAAATGGAGTTCAGTTAAATGGAACATTATTGTAGAGGAAAAAAGCTTGGATTTCTACTCAATAATCACAATTATCTAAAAGATATTTTCTCTTGCTGTGTTCTCCGTAGAGCTTCAAAGTTGAACTTTTCAGGGATCCATGACAACCAAAAAAAGCAAATGTCACTTCTTTTTAGCTCTAGTCTAGAACAGTTGGCATGGTTACGCAGTGTGTCAGTGGTGAGAGGGTGTAAGGGGAACCGATTCGTCAGAGATTCATGAAGAGACTCTGCCTTTAATAAAAAAAATGTAATGGCAAAAATCTAATTTTTTTAATCTGTTTTTATTTACCATACAGGATACAATCTGACTAAAGCCACTAGTGCATTGCCATTCTAGAGCCTAATTGTAAAGTTCAGTTAAAAATAAACCAACAAATAAGATAAAGCCCACTGATTTATATAATCTGTTTATACACTTCAATGGAGGGACATTTAAAACTACCACCAGGCTGGGGTTAGAGATATGAATTTTTTAATAATCTTAATCAGTTTTTACACGGTTCTTATCATAGTTGTTGCCCAGATTTGTCCCACTCTCTAGACCTAAGCTATCAGAGCCTTTAGAAAGACCCTGAGATGTGGATGACTGATTGTTGCTTATGCCCAAAAAAACCCAAAACCTTGTTTTTTGGGGGTTTTTCTCCATCCGAGCATTACTTTTAGTTTAAACAGTTCTGTTTTAGATTGTTTGGAAGTTAATTAACAATGTTCCAAATGAATTTTTTGTTATGTTTGAGTTTTGTTTGAACTTTCATGTTGTTCGTCTAATTTAATTGTCCTCACTTTCTGAAATCTTGATTTTCTCTGCCCACCAGCTTCCTTATACAGACATGACAGAGAGTGGAGAAGAGCTAACACTTCCACATATAGTAGGTATGAAAATAGATCAGAGCATATTATAACATCAAGAGAAGAATTGGGTTTGGATTAAGGTTTACAGAAATATATCAGATCTGCTCTTTCCTTTTCCTCACTTTATTCATATCAGTGTTGATAACTGTGCCCCCTGGTGTCCCTGTCTTCATTCTAAAAGTTTGTTCTTATGTTGGTGTCAGGCATCCAGAGCCCCAGCCAAATGGAGCTGCTGGCCAAACACAACCTGAACAGGCCGGTGTTTGTGGAGGGCCCCTTCCCTCTATGGCTGAGGAAGACATGCGTCCACTACTACGTGCTCAGAGCCGACCCCAAGCCGCCTGAGGAGCAGGTTGGAACATTTTCTTTTAACCAGCACTAAGCAAAACCGTTCATGGAAATCCCTGCCACCAACGTTGATTTGTGACAAAAGAGCTATCTTTGTTTGAATGTATTTGACGATAGTCTTTGGTCATTCTTGCATTTAACTGAATTAGAAAATAAGTGGTAAGGTATGATCTGTTCCTGAGAGTTTTCTGTTTTAAATAAAGTTCAAATTTGAATTTAAAATGGAATTTTCTGACAAAATACATTTTTGTGAGTAAGGAAAACAAAAAACTATTTTCACCAGTCTGGAAAAACTGTGATATGCAGTGAAGGCCTTACACTGTTCTTGGCCTAAAATGTCAGATGATGTACTCAGATGTGTATTTTACACATTTTCTGGGGTTGAGGCCTCAGAATAATTTGTATTACATTTTATTGATGTAATTACTAAATCCCCTGAAACTTTTATGATTGCACAAAGACATACCACACATTGCTGCATCTGCCTTTAGCTCAAAGAAATTAACTTGTATTATTCAATATAAATGGGCTATTCCATTTTTATAGCAAGAAATGTGGGTTTAAAATACAAGGGTCCTCTGAAAGTAAATGAGAAGGCAAATCTAATGACTTTTTGAGGCTGACAGTGGAGTTGGTGGTTGGAACTTATCCAAAAGCTGAGCTGCTAGTATGTGCATTGGTTTGTATTTTCCCAAATTAATCCTCAAGGTGGAAAACCTTGATGGCAGACATCCGCTTTGCCCTGACTGACAAGTTACCGTTTCTCCTTACAGGTAGAGGAACCCTACGATCCAGAGAGGTGTTTTGATTATCCTCTGCAACTAGAGCTGGATTTTGATCGTGACCTGGGGGACAACGAGGACTTTGACGTCGAGGACTGTAAGAAATCTTACAGCAATAATTGTTTATGAGTGTAATTTGCTAACGGTGTGTAATTCTTATGCGGCCATGTTTCCAGTGGACGAGGGTCCGGTCTACGCTATGTGCATGACCAGTCAGGGAGACCAGGCCACCCTCAACCAGTGGATCGCCGGCCTCCAGCAGAACAACCCCGTTCTGGGTCAAGTCCCAGCCCTTTTCCGCCTAGAACCTGGTCCTCGGGAGTTGCAGGGAGCAGCAGAAAGCGTCTCAGGCCACAGCAGTCGGCCTCATCCAGACAGCCACGTGGAAAACGCACAGTCTGGGGAAGATGCTGAAGTCATACTGGAAGAGGAGGCCAGGAGGAGCCATGGGATGAAGCAATAATCTCTTACAAGAAAAAAAAAAAAAAACTTTTGTCAAGAGTATTCTTCCAAACCGGACAGGGTTCTATATAGAATAATTTAAAGTTCAACAAAGGGTCGAAAAAGGTTCAGTCCTGTAATAAATAATTAAAACAATCTATATAAAACCATGTGTTTCTTTTTGATACTTCAATATTTGCTATCAAACTTTTGTGATTGTCATTTTGTCTTGAACCCTTCAGCACAGCTCAGAACTGATAATCTGTTATATTTTCAGATGCCACGTGAAAAAAAACGGTTGGAAACGTCTTGTCCACTTGATACTACCCAAAACTGTCCGTAGTGTCCTTGTTTAGCAGCTGATGTGCGATTGAAAAGGGGGTTTTGAAATGTCAAAATTCCGCTAACTGTCCATGAAGGGTGCTGTTTTAGGATATGAACAGATTCGAACTACAGATTCTAATTTAGCAGTTTTTGTTTTTGACAAATTAGGAGAAACCGCTTTTTTTTGTTTACAGATTACCATCTGTAAACAAATTGTGAAAATGCAAGACCTGAATTTAATGATATTATAGAGAGATACAGTTTGGATTTAGAGTGACTTTAGTGGATTTCTGCTTATGAGACAGACATTTGCTCAGAAAATGCCTGAAAGGCTGTTTATATAAGTTATTAAGCTGATTTATCAATGTTTAGTTTGTCATTTCAGCCTCATTTTAGGTATTCATTTAAAGGTTAACATTATAAAACTGACTCATGATGTATTGTTTTACTGTCTACATGTGTACACGGTAAACATTAACCTTTCACTGAAAGCACAACAAAGGTCTCATGAATCTTTTTTAAACTGGTTCAACAGAGAAACTCTAAATATATATGAGGCCACTAGTGATTATGCAGGAAATATTAGTTGATCCCATCTCCAAAAATGGGGCGATGAGAGATGTCAGTGAAAAGCCCGTGTGTAGAAAAGGTTTATTAATGAAAAGGAAAGAGATTCTCTTCTCCGTGAACAAGCAATCAACTCAACATTACATTCTGACAAAGGGAATTAACTTGGTCACTTCCAGCTCTTTTTCTGTCGTTGCTGTGGACACAGCTTTGTGCTCGAATCAGAAATAATTTTGTTATTTTCATGAAAATCATATAAAGACAAGGGAAATTATTTCAAAATTCAACCAATACACTACAGCTCATTCATTTACTATTCATGCAGGAAAGCCTTTGGATCTCCAATACTCACAAATGAAACACTATTTTTCCATAACATGGAACTATCTACTCAGTATTAATGATGCATCAGCAGCAATCAGTAACAGGAAATTCAATAAATATAAAAAATAAATACTGTTGCCAAGCAAAAGAAAAAAAGAACACACAATAAACGTAACGATAGGCCTCTTGTTACCACCTTTTATATATATATATACAGGGTAGATTTCACCTTTCACAGTGAAGCTTAAATTAACTGCAAGTAGGTTTTTGAGAACGATAGGCAAGTAATAAACAACTGTTCTCCATACAGGAAGCTGTAATTCAGAGATAAATTGTTTATAAGGTTCAGGGTAGGAAGAGCAGCAAGGTACAATAGCTAGTGTGAAAACACACTAGTCAGCTCCAGGAAGCCGAGGAAGGAGACTGGACACAGCGAGGGTCAAACAGTGTCTGACCTGAATGCAAGCCTGCCAGTAAAACAGGTAAAACTTTAAACCAAAACCAAAGCAGTCATGAACAAATAGTAAAAAAGTGTCTCATTTCTCATTCTTGTATTGTACCTACATGTATGTTTTTTCAAACCAATGGGTGATTCAAAGCTACATCTACTGGAAAAGTTAAAAGGTTCAGCATAATCAGTGTCAGTCTTTCGGTTTAGGGCCTCTTTTTTCAGATTTAGTGTAGCATCTCAGTTGAAAAAAGGTTCATGCAGCCTTTCATCATAAACCCACATTGATTATATTTATAGAAAAAAGTAAACAAGTCAATGAAGTAAGTTGGATTTGGGGATGAATTCTCCCTGTACAGTATAAAAGGCAACTTTCTCAGAAGGTAATTAAATCATAAAAAATGGTGTTCAGATGAGCCGTGCAGCCATGATATCCGTCCGTCACTTCCTGTGTGCTTCTGCAAAACAAATAAAAAAAGGTTTGCAAATCATTTCGATGATAAACAATAGACAAAAAAACATGGATAATTGAAAGGTTTAGAAAGAAAAATACACCAATACAGACAAAACGCAAAGGGATTGAAAGTTAAATATGTAGCAAGATTTTTTTTTTTAAAGTTCCCCAAATGGATGATAAAGTTTCTCGGTTTGGCTTGTGTGGACTGCTTGAACAAATCTATACCCCTCTTTTGTTAACTCTGAAAAAACATGCTACAGAAGTTCAAAAGTTACCACATTAACAATCTAAAGTAAATGTTAAAGCAGCTCTTGTTTCAAAAGCTTAAAGGGCATCAATTAAATAAAATAAACCTATCAAAGAGAAAAACGAATGAGTCATTAAGCTGCTAAAAGCGTCAAATCCAAAATCAGTAATCCTGCGATCAAATTAATAAAAATAAGGGATGCAATGGGATTTTCTTTGTTTGTTTTAATCATCAAAGTAGGATTTTGCTAGTGAGGAGTCACTGTGCAGCTCTCAGTGTGAAAAATTAAGGAAGATATCTTCCATGCAAGCCAAGCTTGCAAGCATCCCAATGATAACCCAATTATATTATGACAATGCATTAGCAAATTAGTTTAGTTTAGTTTTATTAGGATCCCCATTAGCTGCCAAATAAATGGCCACTAGTCTTCCTGGGGTCCTCACATTAAAAAAAATACATTACATTATGAACAAATCATAAAAATGTTTTAAAAAATCACAGTAGGAAATAATAAGAACATAAACAAGAGTAGAAATATAAAACATATACACAGGTCAGTTCATCATATCATCTGCAGTAGTTCTGAAGACAGTATCTTTTTGAAGCTAGTTCTGTTCTGAACTCTTTGTGTGGTTATTGGTTCCAGTGAAATAATAATAATCTATAATGCACTGTGGATTTTAGATAGTTTGTTCTGGGTCGAGGGAGTTTAATGTCTCCACTTCGTGCCCTCCTTGTTAAGTAATTATGACTTTTTTCAACAAGGACTAAATGTTTAGCAAAAACTGAGGGCTGTTTTTAAAAAAAAAAACATTCCATATAAATAGGAGAAGTCTTAATCTAAGTTTATAGGTAACTGTTAACCATGAAAGCCGTCTATGCATTGAAGCCACATTTGTTCTTTGTGAGCACTGAAGGACCCCTCTAGCCGCCCTGTTTTGTGCCAGCTGAAACTGGTGAACTACCTCAAATTTCATTATTATTCAAGTTTGTGTCTATGGAAAAGTTCATATCGTCAACATTTGTGTCGTGTACCTTTAATGCATGGTTGTGTCATTGCTCTGCAAAAAATAATCAAAATCTAAGTTCCGGGCTAGAGCCTCTGCTCGTAAGCGGGGGGGCCTGGGTTCGAATGCGGCCCACGGCCCTTTCCCGCAGGTCTCCCCCTCTCTATCTCTGCCCCCTTTCCTGTCAAGCTACTGTCATTAAAGGCCACTAGAGCCAACAAAATCTTAAAAAAAAAAAAAATGCATGTCCACAATGAGGATCTCTCTCCTTTCCACTACTCTTCCCTCCCCCTGTCCCTCTGTCAAGTTCGGTATTATTGGACATATGGAAGTTTGGTAACAAAAATGAATAAATAAAGAAGTTTTGGGTAATCAAGGGGGGCTTCTCACTAACAAAGCCTCCCTTGGCAAAGCAATTTTGCTCAGCATTGCACGGTACGCAGATGTCAGTTCTACTACCATAATGCTGAACAGGACAAGGTAAAAAAAAAAAACATTATTATCCCGCCCAAAGTGAAGGGGGCTTTACCTGCCGGAGCCCCCCCCCCCGTGCTGCTGCAGCTGGCTGGTGAAGAAGCGCTCGCGGCGGGACACCTGCTCGTCCCAGGCCTCCAGGATGCGCTGCCTGTCTGCGGGCTCCAGCGCGGCGCTGTGGGGGTGCGCCTCCTGGATGTGGGCGGCGGCCCCCTCCGGGCTGTGGGCGTACTGCAGCTCCCCGCACACCGTGCACACCAGCAGCTGGTGGAGCGGGTCGTAGTCCATGAGGTAGTGGCTCCTCCACACGCCGCCGGGCAGGGCGCCCTCCTCAACGCCGCCGTCCTCGTAGTGATCGAACAGAAGCTCCGAGTCATCTGCAGAGGTTCACAGGAAAAAAAACTGATGAATTCCAGCATTTTGCTGGACATTCTTTGAGGTTTAAATAGGCATGGTGGATACTTCACCTTCTATCGGCGCCACGTGATCGGAGAACTCAAACGGTTCCGCGTCAGGCTCCACAGGCATGCTGAGAAAAGCAGATTCTGTTATTGTCTGAAATGGATCCGACTGGAGGAAAAAAAAATCTAAACGGACAGAATAGAGCTCCCACCTCCTCAGTTGTTCAGATTCCTCAGGGGAGTTGGCCCACTGATCACACCCCTACAGGGTTAGAAGGACAGAAACATTGATCTGGGTGTTAGGAATATTCTGCTTGAAGAAGTCGGTTCAGTATTTTCCTCCCTTTTCATATAATAATATTTTTATCTCAATCTAAAGAATGAGAAATCCTCTGTTAGTGGATGTAATGGTGTGAAATTGTACATTTGCCTAAAAATCAACATTTGCCAGCAAGCGCACGTCGCAAAATTAGAATTAAAATTTAACTACAGCTGGCTCTTTTTTATTGTTTTGCTAAACAACCATGAAATAAAGCTAAAAAAACGGCGATACCCAATTTCAATTGTTAATAGTAGGGAGATGTCAAATTAATAATAATTATTACTACATTGTTGTGTGTCTCTTCAGTTATTCTGTGCATCACTAAAAATAAAAATAAAACTAAGTTTGGTGTTGTATCATGCGCACTCTTTCTAACTTGGTATCACGTTTCATGTTTTTTTTTTGGGTGATGGATGTTTTGGTCATCGAACAAGAAAAAAAAAGATACTTTTTAGACTCCATCTGGTTTTCCTGGTTTTGTTTATGTCCTGTTTATGTCATGTTGACTTCTGTCAACATGGATTCATCTCTTTTGCACATCATTTTGTCCACCTATCTCACACCTAGTTATTCTATTAAAAAACACCCCCACAGTCAGATTTAGGGACTGTCACGTCTGGTGTCTCGTCATGTCATGATTACCCATTGTGTACACCTGGGGTTCCCTCCTCATGTGTTTAAATAGTCCTCGTTTCCCCTTGTCTTGTGCGAGTGCGTTTTCGTCTTTTTCGTCTTTGTCCGTCGTCTCCCCCACGCCAGGTCTGTTTACCATAGTTTTCGTCATAGCCACAGTTTTGTCACAGTTTTGGTTAATCTTTATTTTGTTACTTTGTCATAGTTTTCCCACAGTCCTGTTTGCTTTGCTTTGATACTTTGACCACAGTTTTCCACAGCTTTGCTTTGTACTTTGTTTGGACATTCTCCCTGTTTTTGTTAAAATAAACCTTGTTTTCCCTCACTCCGCGACTGAGTCCTCCCTCAAGAACCACCCTCATGACAGGGACGAACTAGGAGGTGAGGCAGGACAAACTGAACAATAGATCTGGGATATAGGACTACTGTTTTCACTGAAGATGTCAGGCTGAGCAAAGGTTTCTATTTCAACTAGACGGCGACCTGGAGTTCCAGATCTGTGCTTAGTCTGTTCTCTCCATCCGTCGTGGTTCCCTCAGTGCTTTAACTGAGCACAAAGTGAAATTATAAACATGTAAATAGGATTTTTTTTTTTGTCTTAACTTTGAAATCATCTTACGAAACTCTTTGTTTTTGCTTTCCCACTGGGGCATATTGTGCTACCTGGTGATGGAGACATTGTTTTCAAGTCTCACCATCTGCTCTCTGCATATTTCTGTGTGTTTCTGTGGTTTGGATGTACCTGTTCAGCTTTTGCTTGTGTCTGCAGGTTCTGGGAGGGCGAGATGGAGTTCCAGTTTCTAGAAGTGGTCCTCGGGGACATCCCTTTGTCCCGAGTGGCTTTCCTAGCTCTCTGTTCCTTTTTCTTAATCCTCCAGTACTCCCGTTTCCTCCTCAGAAAGTCCTCCTCAGATTCCCCTGGGACAGGTTTGGGAGGAACAAGTGTGCTTACTGCTGAACTAGGTGCTGGAGTCTGGGGGATTTCTACTGGACTGAGGGTGGAATTGGGACTCTGGGCGGGGAACTGGACGGCTCGCAGGTTGATGTTTGACAACGGGTTATCTGGGGGCTTCAGAGTTCGGAGGGGGGGGGCCGGATCTACCTCTGTGCTTTGAGAGTTACGCTCTTGGGAACGTTGTGGAGACCCAGAAAGTCTGGTAAAGGCCGTCGCTTTTTGTGAGGAGCCCCCACTCACGCCGCTGTCCTCTCTGATGGCCAGGGGCCGTTCGGCATTACGCGATGTCCGGTGAACTAGCAGGACTCCAGCGATGTGACCCACTGAAGGGACGGGCCGTTTGGGCTTTGGGGCCGGCTTGGTTTGACCCACAGCTTTAACGGCGTTGATTATAAGTCCTGGCATCTGGAAGACAGTAATAAAGCAATAATTAAGCAATTTCCCTCGGTATAAACCTCAGAATTGCCTCCAAAAACATGCACATAGGTGTCTGCCCCTAGACGTAAGTGGGCCCCACTCAGTCACACTCCCCTCTATTTTTACTATCGAGTGTCAAATGCCAAGAGAGGTTTGTGGAGCAATGCTTCAGGTTTCAGCTGGAGGCAACACTGACGAAATCAGTTATTTTAATTAAATAGCTAAAAAAAATGAATAAAACACTTTCTTATTCATTTTATCTGTGAAAACTGGTTTAAATGACTTATTACTGTGCTGTTTGGTCACTTTAAAGAAAAAACGTGTCTCGCATTACTTGTTTCGTGTCTCACTTCCTCTTCAGGAAGAGGAAGAGGAAGGTAGAATAACTGACTTTGAATGGTCAATAGCATTCAAAAACTACATTCAGTGACACTTTGGGATGTTATCAAACGGGAGGAGAACTCTCAGAAAAACTAACTAAAAAAGGGTCAATCTTAAGGCTTAAAAAAGTCATTGTGATAGGTAAACATTTCAGAAATGCTAACATAATAGAAACCAGCAGAGAAAAGGGAAATTTGTTAATTAACCTCCTGAGAGCCCAGCTTTTATTTGATGTGCCTTTCTGCTTTTCTGGATCAGTAGGATCTAATAAGTTTAATAACTAGACTTTGTCATGGTACGGGTAGTTTTTCTTCATATAGGCTCAGTGGGTTTATCTTTAGATTTAAAATGAATGTTTATATATTTATTCAAAAGTTTTGGCAATTTGGTTCTGACGGTCTAAATGACTTATTTACAACATTGTAATAACAGTAAACAATAAGAAGATGATTGGTGTAAAATGTATAAAACTATTTTACTTTAGAATTGAAACAGTAGTGTCTGATAGCGTCCGCTATTAGGCTAAAAGGTCAAAGGTCATAGAAAAAAAAAGGATCATGGTAAAGAGAAGCAAAAATGCAGCATCCTCACATCAGAACAAGCTCTGATAACCATTGTATACTTAATCAAACATAGAAAATGGCGGTGTTACATCACCTGGATGTCTCTTGAAATGAGGCGGCTGCTGCATCCTCCTTGCCTGGCTCTCTGGTTGGCCTTTAGCCGGGCCCTCTGCTGCCTTTTCATCAGCTTCCAGTACTCCCTCTTCCTCTGCAGACTGGTCAGGCCGCCCTGCTCTGCGGCCGCGGCCCCGGTGCCCGGTGCCGGACCCTCTGCTGCGGTCAGCTCGGCCCACAGCTGCTGCTGGACGTGCGCCCGGCCCGCCGCTGCGTCTGGGATGTGGTGGAGTTTGGGCGGTTCCGGGGAATGCTCGTTTGTTTTGCTGTTGAACCTCTGGGGTCGGCGTGGCGACGTCCGGCCATCGAACGCTTCCACGCTAAAGCTGAAGGCCAGGGGCTGCTGACCCGAGGGCTCGCAGTCGGACGGGCCCGTCTCGCTGCAGGTGGCCGAGTCCGGACCGGTCTCGATCATTTCTGAGGAGTCCTTGAGCTGTGTTAAGACGTCGCCGTCCGGCCGCCAGCTCTTTATCTGCAGAGTCAGGTCAGCGGCGATGGGCGCCATGTCGTCTTTTTCGAAAAACAGCCGAGACAAACTGGGCTTGGCGTCCTGCTCGGGCGCGCTCTCTCTCGCTTCCGTCTTGATGTCCGTCTGCACGCTTTTGCACTCCGTGACGGTGCTGAGCGATTCCTCCAGGAGCTTCTTCATCGACGCCACGGCGAGGAGCGTGGTGGCCTGGCAGTCCGGGCCCGCAGACGTGTCCAGCTCCTGCTGACCGGCCGGGGAGGCGGGGGGGTTGATGTCGGGAGGTGAGGAATTGAGGTCAGCCGCCGCCACGGCTTCGGCCTCCTGCTTTATTTCGCTTGTGTGCGGCGTTAAAGACACGCCGTCGATTGAGAGGGGTTGTGCGTTTCCTGTGCCGTCTGTAGAAGTGGTGGTCAGTTCTTGTCTCTGAGCCCTCCTCCTGTCCAGGGCCGCACTGGCCGGCTTCAGACGGACGGCGCGGGCCGCCCGCTGCTCGCGCTTCTTTATCCTCCAGTACTCCCTCTTTTTCGCCATCCTCTCTTCCTCCGTCAGCCCCGGATCTAGAGGCGGAAGCGGGGACGGCGGCGCCCGGCTGGATATGACCATTTTCATCACGCAGCCGCCCGGGTCGGATCCGGCCGGCGGCCCCGTCGGCGACGCGTTCTGATGGTGAGTCAGGGTGAGCTGACCTACACCCTGGGCGGCTAAAGACTGGGAATTAGGAATGGTGGCGATTTCGAATTGCGTTTGTGGCTTGGCGGGCATTAATCTCTGGGGCTTTTTGACTAGATGCACAGCCTGAGGAAAGGAGGCCTTGGCTTGGGATGGACGGAGCGGGGGGGAAAGTTGGTTTATCCTGATGGGGATATTCTTGGGAACTACCTGGAGCTTTTTTTCAGGTTTGTCTCCTGCTGGGCTCTGACCGTTAGGACACTGGGGGACGTTAGCTGTAAGTGTCCCGTCCTCTTTGATGAACCCTCCGAAGCTCTCGCTGGAATGGGTGAGGCCGCTTTCTGACGAGTGGTTCCGGGCCTTCGCCTCCCTAATTTCTTCCACTATTTGATTGTAACGCTTTGCTCTCCGCATCAGAGAGTCTCTCTCCTTTAAGCGGACCTTCATCTCCATAGACAGCTTGGCCCGTTGTTCGCGCTTTTTGGTGCGCCAGTATTCCCGCCGCTTGGCTATTATCTGCTCGGGCGTGTCGTGGGGGGCGCTTTTGGGCATGCCTTCAGTAAATAACATCGAAGTCATTGGGGGCGGTTTACATCTCAGGTTTCTCTGGATTAAAAAATTCCTCTGCATTTCAATGATTTTCTGCCTGGGGGTTTTATACCGTGCGATCCCCCGTGTGACGGTGTAGTAATGTGTGCAGGCGTGAACTTTCCTCTGCGATTCTGCCGGCTTTTTTACAAACCCAACATCAAATGCTAGGTCTTTCTGTAATCTCTTTTTCCCATCGGATCTTTGTACGTGAATCGGATCTGTTTGGAGTTTAGCAAAAGTCCGGGCTGCTCCTCTTTGCAGTTTCCCTGCGTCCCTTTGGATGGATGGAAACGGCGTTTTACCTCGAGGGGAAAACTGAAACTGGAGAAGCGGAGAGCTGGACGCAGGCACTGGTTTTTGTGCCGTTTGCCTCTGAAAAGACAAGTCTCCAGCCTGCATCCTGTCTCTGGCTTTGGCTATCCGAGCTGCCAGCTTTGCCCTCTGCTCTCGCTTTTTGATTCGCCACTGCTCCCTGCGTCTGGCTGCTTTCTCCTCGTCGGACTCCAGGGAAGGCTGTGCACCACCAGCGCCTTTTGTACTTTGTGTAATGGCTGCGGCACACTTTGCTCCACTTTGGGGCATCGGGTTCATGGTATCGCCTTCCGTTTTGACAGAAACAAACGGAAACACAAGACTCACATCTGTATTTTCCAGTGCACCTTGCGAGTTCGATAGGGTTTGGGAAAATGTTGTGCTCTGCATAGACATACATGGCTGAGGTTCTGTTTTAGTGGAGCTGCCATTGGAAATTCTAGTCACTGGAACCGGAGGCACTGAGAAACTGAAGTTCCGCTGCGTTCCATTAAAGGAGGCCGCCGTAACCACTTTCCTGACAGTTCTCGGTGATGCTTTTCTGACAGTAGCTGTGCTGCCCTCAGCTTCTTTGGAACCGATGAGCTGCGGGAGATCCAAAACTTTGTCGACTCTCAGTGTCTGATGCCACTCCTCCTTTTGGTTGTCATCATTCTCAAGAGAAACGTGTCCAACTATATGTCCACGCTGTGATCCCACGCCGTCTGAGTCGGGTTTAGTCTGTGAAAGAGTAGACAAAACAGCAGGCGACTCCGAAAAAGTGGGATTCCCCCCGGAAGCATTCAGACGTGGGAGCTGTCCTCTTCTGCTGCAGTGCGTTGGCGTCCCTCTCTGCTTGGACAAACGGGCCCTCTGCTCTCGTTTCTTATTCCTCCAATATTCTCTCTTTTGGGCAAGAGTGGCATCGTCGAACTCCGAGGCTGGACGGTAGCGCTGGGATGCCGAGCCAGCGTTAGCTTTGGTCGCTGGCATGTTGTTGTAAACTTTAGCGGCCCATCCGTTCTCAGGCAAAGACAGTGGCACTTCTTTAGCTCAAGGGATGATGACCCTCAGTCCAGATTCCTCATAATTAATAACTCCATAGTTACCTTCTCTCAAATATTATTAGGCAGCTGTCATATTCCATCATGGTAGATGTTCTGAAAAACACAAAAATACCTTAGAAAATCTAAAATCAAGTACAAAAATAAGATATATAATAAATAGTGGACCATTAAACAAATAGAAAGTAAAGATTAGATAGAGATAGATAGATACAACTTACGAACACAGGAGTTTAAGGTTAAACTTCTAAAATATAACACATTGCAGTGAAAAACCTTTAGCCAAGATTCTTTTAAACTGAAGCTGTAATATTTAAAAGTCTTCATTTTGCTTTTTAAGGGACAGAACCACGAGGCATTAGTTTTGTTTTGCCTAAATAGTTCCAGAAAGGAGCTATACACCAATGGGTTTGTTGTGTACTGTGCTATTATGTCAGTCTAAACTCAGAACTGAGATAAATCATGTTACAGCATGTCAAACGGTAACTTTGGCGAGCACATGTGCATTACTCATTCAACTCCTGTAACTTTAACGGAGATGGGGTTTGTCAAACTCTCAGTTTCGTGCACGACTTTTGTATCATTTATGTCGTTTAGAGACTGAAAAATCCCTTCCAGCACAACGACCCGGGCTCAGAGCAAAGCAGAGGCCAAATAGGACCAAAGCGTCGAGCTACTATGCTACACGTAGACGAAAACACCAAAAGATGTGTTCGTCAGAACAGTTGGATGAATGTGTTCGTATTTTACTTAAAATACAGCGTTCTAGCACTTTTATTAACGTAAACCTGTCGTGTATGTGTCAACGTGTGAGCTACTGTAATGGGGAAGGAGGCAATGTCACTGTCCCTTTAAACCTGTCCCTTTTAATCACAAATTATATCCGTCGAGAGCCATTTTCATACTGCATTTTTATCAAAACCGCGGCTAAGTTACTTGGCTAAGCCACGGTAAAGCAAATATTCCCGAAGCCAGTCCGAAATAGAGCCGCATTAGGGCGTAAATCGAGCTCGAATCCCTGTGTCTCTCAGCGGCACAATGGACAAGATCTTCCGCCTCTTGTCCTCACGGACGAGCGCCTGTCTGAGTCTGCTGCCTGTCTAAAAGCCCCGAGAAAAAAAAAAGCTACCCATTACTGTGGCCAAAGTAGCACGCGCGGTATCGCGAGGTAGAAAAAACATGCATAACCGTTACCTTTTTTTGTTAGCCCTAACTTTCCCGGGCACTTTTATCGGAACGTTTGGCGGACGGATAAACGGCCAGGACGCTGCAGCTACTTTCCGCCAGTCGGCCGTGCTCCGGGCTGCCTTGACAACGAAAGTACCAGGATGTGGGACCGGGAGGGCTGCCGCCGCCACCGCCGCCGCCGCCTACGTGTGTTTGCGGCGCGGATACCGACACACAACAGCACACCGCCCCCCGCGTCCCCATCCGAAGCCCCACACCGCCCATCCCAGCCCTTTCAAGACAATTACGCCAAATCCGTCACATAAATTAAGCATAAATCACAAATCTCTATGACATGCTCATTGTAGCTGATCTGCTTAGACCTTAAACTTACATTTGGGGAAATTGAATAAGCCCCCCCCAAAAAAAAAAATGTTCAGAAAGAAAAAAAACAAAACAAAGACAGAAACATATCTTTCACAAAGCTGGTAAGACGAGATCTCTGATGTTGAGAACTTGTGGAGAAACAGAGAGATTCAATTTGCATTTAAATAGCAGGTATATGCATGACAATCACATGGAAATGTGGCCCAAGCTAGATATTATTCTATTTACTTTAAAAGGAGTCATATGTTACTTTGATTGTAAGTTAAACGGACAACATCAGAAAATATAACAATAGAGAAGAAGGAGGTCAGATTCTGGCTAAAACGCTTCGGAAATGTATGTAGAATCTAGGTGAGATGTGGGAATTAGGACCCCAAAGTGGTGAGTTTTCATTTTTACATAGAATTTATTACACAAACATCCCCGGAAAGCGTTTGTCTGATTTACATGTAACTTGGCCATATTTTGGTGCTTTTATGAGGGTGAACTCGTGGATTCTCGTTTGAAACGGGTCTGGGAATATAACAGAAAAACGAATGAATCAATTACTGACTGAAGAACACAATGGAACAATCGATGATCAAAATGACCCTGGTGATCTGTCCGTGTGTGGTCTTGGCTGGACTTAATGTGGTCAGAACCACACTGAAAACAAGCTTTTAGGCCCATGAGCCCCCCAGCAGAAAGTACTGTGAGCTGGAGCTTCTGGTGGGGCCCCGGTTTACCCTCGGGTTTTTAACCACTGATCTGCCGGACCCCCCCCCCCTCTTTCATCTGTCTGTGGGAGAACAGCAGTTTGGACGTGGAGCTTATCAGCATTAGCGCCTGCTGCTCCATCTGCCCCCCCACCCACCCACCCCCTACCCCGGGGTGGGTGAGCAGAGTCGACACTGTTACTGTCTCTTTAAATTTACCCAGGAGCCCCTTAAGGAGCCCCAGGGGCCCCTAGCCCGGCTCCCCACCCAGAAGACAAGCAAGAACCTTAAAATACATTACTAGCGGCCTACGCCGAGCCGCGTCCAGCCCCAGCAGCCCGGAGCAGTTGGCTCTTGGCGCCAGAGGAAGACGTGACTGAGTGGGTTTTTTTAGGAAAAGTTAACTTAGCTCCCGCGCGGGGCGACGTTTTGGGGGGTGGTGTTGGGGGGGGGGGGGGGGGTTCCGTGGAGAGCCTGGGCTCCACAAACGATGGGCTCGTGTCGGCCGTTGTCGCGCGGCGGAACGTGTTGGTGTGAGCGTGACATGTCCCGCCGGAGCCCTTCGGTCCAGTGAAGGAAAGGAGGACCGCCAGCCACCACCAAAGCCGCCGCCAGGTCAGTGATGGACGAGAAAGGGACGGGAGGGGACGAGCCTGTGGACCTCCGGTGCTCCGAGCCGTCGGAGCTGCTCTCATTAATAATAAGCGGAGAAGAGGAAGCGACGCAAGAAGAGAGCGACCTGGGAGGTAAATACAAGAATAAACAGAAATGGCAGAAACCGCGGAGGGGGTGGGTTTGTGTTCTATTTTGCCCCGGCGGCTAAGTGGGTGTGCGTGGCTGTCAGTGACACGGGGCATTGTCAGGCGGACCGTTAATCCTCGTCGGGGACAAAGCCGTGGAGCGGCATGGCCCCTCCGTCTGTGGGGCTCCTATAAACAAAGGCGACACACCGCTGACACCTAACGGACAGCCGCGGTACGGTCCGCGGCCAGCGGGGACGCGGCCGGGGCCGTCCCCGGGGGGCCGGACCATGACACCTGGCGTTAAATATAGAAGGGAGATGTTGTGTAACGTCAGCTCTTTTGTCAGAATATCATCTCATTTGCATCAGGGAGGAGAAACCCGTTCATCATCTCTTCCTTTAGTGCTCACCAAGACCCCTTTGCTCCACTTCTGTCCTTATGTAGTGGATCCACACTTGAATACATCATGACAAACTGTCAAGTTTTAAGAAACCTAAACACATCCTTGGTGCAGATACGTGGTCCTGCTTACTTTTTTGTTACAGACGCTCATCTGTCTTCCATTTTAGATGAAGACAATCTTGCCAATGGCCACGGTGGGATGGAATCAGACTCGGTCGCGTCGGGAGGGACCAGCTACTGGAACATCACAGAAGGCCCTGACCACCCTCTCCTCCTCTCTCCTGCACCAGGGCCCTCTGGACGCAAGCCCCGGGTCCAGAGGGCGTCGCGTCCAGGTCTGAGCCGGATTCCCGGCCGCGACCACCGGCGCTACTACCACGAGTACTGGCGCAGTGAGTACTTGATGGACTTTGACCCCCAGAGGCACGGCATGATCTGCATGGTGTGCGGCAGCTCGCTGGCCACGCTGAAGCTCAGCACCATCAAGAGGCACATCCGCCAGAAGCACCCGGACTCCCTGCTGTGGAGCGCCGCCGACAAGGAGGTGATCCGCTCCGGGTGGGAGAGCCACCTGAGCCTGGAGGGGGGTCAGAGGGCGGTTCCGGGGCCTTCCCTCCAGCCGGGGGACGAGTCTCCGCCGTTGAGCCAACACACCGCTGGTAGGTGGGACGCCACTGGTTTGAAAAGCTTACTGTGCATTTTTTCTTGGGATGTACAAGTAGGATAGAATGTAACGATTCAATGACTGTTTGAAGGAAGCAGACAAAATCACATCCAATTCAAATTGTATATAGATATAAACGAATAGCATTTCTGGGAAATTAGCAGCGATTCAAATATAATTCTTTGAATTCTAAAATGACTCCTCTTTTTTTTTTTTTTTTTTTGTTTTTTTATTTATTGTGGAAGAAAAACATAATAGTTACAAATAGTATAGAATCTGTTCCAGGTTTTTTTTGTTTGTTTTTTTAAATACCCAATACCTCTCATTTGTAGTGGTCAAAGAGATAACTCATACACACACACACGCACACAAACACACACACATTTTTTTTTTAAATTAAATTTAAATTAAATTAAAAAATTAATAAAAACATTTAAATAATAATAATACAAATAAAATACATTAAAAAAAAAAAAAAAAATAAAAATAAAATAAAATAAAATAAAATAAAAAAAAAAAAAAAAAAATAAATAAACAGACGGGGCGGGGTGGGGGGTTGTCCAATCACATTAGTTAGTCTAAAATGACTCTTTACTATAAGCAGAATCTCCAGGCCACGTGACGCCCCCCGAGCAGCCCGAGCAACCTCTGGCTTCGTCTCCACACTCGGAGATGGCCGAAACCCTCCAACCCCCGGAGCCGGAGCGGGAGCAGGAGCAGGAAGTCCCCGGGCCGTCGGCGCAGACCCTGGAGCGCTACCTGAACGACTCGCTGCACGCCTGGTTCCGCCAGGAGTTCCTGATGGAGTACGAGGCCGAGGCCAGCCGGCTGCTCTGCATGGTGTGCGGGGCCGAGCTGCCCTCGCTCCATCTGGATCACATCAAGAGCCACGTGCTGGACACCCACCCCAACTCCCTGGTGTACAGCTCTGAGGAGAAACACTGCATCCTGCAGGCCTGGGCACAGACTCACGGTGAGAAAACCCGGCACAAAAGGATTATCCTTATAGGGGCGCTTTTTTAAAACAAAAGTAATCTTTGGATATGTATCACCACTGGTATGTTTCTTGAAGTCTTTGTACGATATTCCTCATCGTGCTGCACTTTCAAATAGATGGATATCACAAATACACACCCCTACTCATTTTCTTACTACTTCTCTGGATCAGCATTGTCATGGTAACAGGGTGAGCCAAGCAACATGGAAATCCAGGTTCCCACACGAGCCCTCCACTGCTGTTCCTAAATATAATCTGTTTGGGATTCACTGTATTTAACAACCAGTATCCGTCTCCAATGATATCATCAATAATAATTGTTTGGTTTGTTCCTAAACCGATCTGGATCTGTCAAAGACTAAAGAATTGTTTTATTTTTGTAACTTTTTCCTCTGTCTGTGTGTTCCATAACAGAGGAGTCGGAACACTCAATCAAATCAGAGCCCAAGACCAAAGGAAAAGGGATCGAAAGCTTTGCTCAGGATGTTGCCACCATTCAGATCAACACTGACATTTACCCGCAGGCCGATGGCACTTTAACTCAGGACATTTGTCTTATCGGAGAGGATGGCGGCATCGGCGCTCCGCAGCAGGGATCCCAGCCTTTCCACCCGCCCAAAAAACGACGCCTGCGCGTGGGGGACCCGTGGAGGCTCCGCCTGGACTACCTGGTGGCCTACGGGCCCCAGGGCCAGGGCACCTTCTGCATGGTGTGTTCCCAAGTCCTGCAGGAGACCAAGGTCAGCAGCTTTCGCCGCCACATCCAGGAATGCCACCCGGAGACGACCACCCTGAGCCGCAACGAAAGGGAAGCCATGGCTGCTGCCTGGACCAAAGAATATCCCAGCGATGGCACGCAGATAAAAGAGGGTGAGAGATTTTAGTCACTGTTGAATAGTTAATGCTTCATTCATAGATTATAGTGTTTATTAATGCTGTCTACAGAGGGGCCCATATGGAAGACTCAATATATTTTTATTACTTATTTTGATCTCTGTTTTTTTTTTTTGTGTTCTAATCTGTTTTTGTTTTAATTAGGACTTTAATTCATACATGTGAAGCTCCAGTCTTGATTTACAGTCAAATCCATTTAAATCTTCACAATATCTTTTAAAGCCTCAGATTCCATTTCGAAAGACAAATGCTATTTTATTCCTTTATTTTTTTTCCTTTCATAGCACAAATGAGCATCAGTGTCATAGACTTACAAATTACAAATACAATTATTCCGAAACCATTTTCCATTTGGTTAAATGAAACTGTGTCCCATACATACAGGGGATGGTATTAACAGCATAGAAGCAGATTAGCAGGAGTTGGTAGACAAATATTCTGTCATCCTATTACCACAATTGGTATTAAATTATTGTCAGATACATGAATTTCACCCTCTATTTATCTGTAAGGACATATTTGGACAAGACAACGCTCAGACATGATCTCTGGCCTTTAGCCTCCAGCTTTAGACTGCAGAAAAACGACTAACATGTCATGTTAGCACTATAGAAATAAAATGTCAAACATTTACAGTAGATTTCTCCTGGCCCCCAGAAAGTGTGTTAATATTGGCAAACGATGTCTGGTCAAAGTGAAACCTGCTAAGGGCGATTCATCCAAATAATAGGTTTGTTGTATTTATATTTCTGAGCCGTTTGAAATCATTTTGCCCTGTTTAGATTTCGGAAAAGCAGCAGTAAGATTAAACATGAACACAAAATGCTATGTTAATGAAGTAAGGCTGAAATAAATTACTTCCAGTCTGATACAGTTGTGGTGTCCCGTGTGTGAGAATGTTAAAGTTGTTTTTTTTTGGCTAAACAGCTTCAGTTTAGCTGCTTTAAATTTGAAACACTCCTTCCGTTGATCCTTTGTGTCCACAGAAACCAACGCAGTGGACGCTAACGTGCTCAGCAGTCCAGAAGAAGCCAATCAGGACACCTCCCCCGACGTCCAGGTGTCCACCAAGAGCGAGGAGAAGAGCCAACCCCAGGACCCCGGCGCCGCCGCGCCCCCCCGCCTGGGCCACTACCCGGGGAAAGACCAGCGGAGGAACTACCAGGTGCGCTGGCGGCTGGACTACCTGATGGACTACGACTGCCGGCGCCACGGCCTGATCTGCATGGTGTGCGGCGCCACGCTGGCCACGCTGAAGGTCAGCACCATCAAGAGGCACATCCAGCAGGTGCACCCCCACTCGCTGGCCTACAGCGCCCAGGAGAAGCAGCAGGCCCTGCTGGGCTACGGCCAGAGCGCGCTGACCTTCGTCCACTCCGACGACTGCTTCCCCTCCCAGGACCACGGACACGCCCCCCCGGCCCCCCCCCCGCCGCCCCCCAGCAGCTAGAGAGGGCCCGCGCTCCGTTCTTCTCCTCGGAAAGGGTTTTTGCTCACAAACGGACCCCTCCGTCTTTCCAATCAGACCATTCAAGTTTTGATCAGGCAGCGTTCTGTGTCCTAACACTCATAAAAAGTGCCGGTTGAAATATTGTTACTATGATGGGGTGTCAGAATGAATTTGAATTCAGCAGAAAGAGCTATGTAGGCAAATACTAGACTTTTCCCCTTTGACGTGGCTAAATCTGTCAAAAAAGTATGAAAAAAGAAAAGCCTAAAAAATATTGATCGTCCAGTGACTCATTTGAAAGCAAGACTACATTTAGACGTAATATCGTGGTATCTTTAGCTTCATGGTGGGTGTGAAAGAGTAAGCCATGACGAGCCCGAACAGGAAAAAGAGCACACGAAAAGGTCATGAATTTTTTAAAATAGACGGATAAAACAAGAGGGAAGTTATTGGCCTTCTTAAATGTTTTATGAGCGCCATGAATATGCGGAAAAAAATCTGTTTGGGAATTGAAAGTGATAGTTTTTACATGAGTAAAAATGCCCCGTGTTTGTGTTTTTCTGCCGTTTAGATCCTGAAAGTTGAGGAAATGAGGAGACGGTTCAATCATGTCTTTGAAATACCGGAATAAATCTGGTAAAATAGCGATAACGGGAGATGGATCAAGCATGATCCAGCCAGAATGGGATGTGTTTAGCTGCCAGCGTAGTGTGTTTCCGCCTGCAAAAGCCCAAATCGTGTTTCACACAGAGGCTCAAAGAATCCAGTCTGACCATGAAGGAATTTTCCCCCCAAAAAAGGTGTTGTTTGCCACAAGCAAAATGATTTGATCCTCAAATCTAGAAATAGCTAAATGTTCACTGGAAATAAAGTAAAAAGACAAAAAGATATTCCAGATTCAATCAAATGTAGTTGCGTGGCAAGACCCAGAAGTTCAACTTTGTACATTTTTTTAAAACCAACACACGGCTCAGCGCCGTTCGTAGATTTAAGCCGGTGTTAAGTAGTTCCGCCTAAAATTTGGTTTGTCCGGTTTGATTGAAGCGTTCAGTGGATTTATTCTCCTAACATCAAATGAGTACCTGGACTTTATTAGGTTTTTGATGGCGCCATGAAATATTTCTGGGGCATGTTTGGGGTCTGTTTTTCAGGGGGGCAGGGCTTGTTTTTGGCCAGGGGTTGAGTCTTTTCTCAGGAAGTTAGAGAAAGAGAGAGAGAGTCTTGGACGGGAACAAGATGGATTAGTCTAACAAAACGTGTCCGAGGCTACGCAGCACTTTGTCCCCTAAAAATGAGCTAAACCCCAACTTTCGGTGTGTACAGCCAATTGAATGAGACTGTGTTTGATGTTATTGCTGAAGACAATGAATGACACTGTGTAGTCATTGAGTGAGGATCGCTGCAGTCTATTTAATTCTTTGTTTACAGAGCAGGAGAGGAGACCCTCCTTGGTCATCCATTTAAATGAGATATGTTATCTCAGTCAGTCTAAGTTATACACCGGCCCGCATCCTTTTCATCAACTCCAACCCATTGTTCCGAACACTGCACAAAAAGATGTAAATGTACGAAAACTAGAACTTTTCTCCTTTGTATGAGCACTTTTTGCATCCTGATTTTTACTAAATGTTTTCTAACCAAGTCCGGTTTTTCTACTTTTTTCTTTAGCAGTTAGAAAATGGCTTGTTTGACTTTTGAATTCCAAGTTTGTTTCAGTTTTGGTACGGCTCTCCCCTCCCACACCTTCTCCAATTCATTGTATAATCTTATGCAACAAAAGGAGTTGAATATTAAGGTCTGATTAAACAAAAAGAAAAAATAGATCTGCCATAAAATGTCACTTCACCTGAAAAGTGTATCTCAGGGATTCTGTTTTCATTGGTAATTGTCTCTGTAAGTATGCTGTTGATATTTCTATATAAGTGTACACATTGGTTATGTTTGAGCATAAATACCACAGAGTAAGGCCATGGTGTGAAACCTTCATTAAAGATGGACATTTTTCCAAGAAAACAAATATTTTCCTAATATTGATAGCTTTGATGAAAATGTCAAATACCAGGAATTTTTTAAATAGTATTTTCTATTGACTCATCATTAAGTCAGAAAAAGGTTTAGAAAGCAGGTTATTTTAAGACTAAATGTACAGTGAAAAAAACTGACATCCCCTGGAAAGTCAGGATGTTACACATTAAAAAAAAGAAGAGCAAAAAAGCGCTATTTTATGTGAAAAACCCTTTTTGGTCAAAACCCGTGGCCGTTTTACTCTGTTGTATTTATATGTGAATGCAACACGCATTTGAAGTCGTCACATTTTTGGATGAAGGATGAACAAAGCCGATGTTGTGGTAAAGTGGAAAATAGCATGTTTCTTATTATTTTTGGACCAGAGCTGGTCCCTCATTACTCCAAGAGTTCCAACATAGCACTTAATCATTTGAATATTTGAGGTAACAGTAAAGACTTGCCAAAGGGAGAAGTGATGCGTTACGTGTGAGTGTTAATTCTGTTTTTATGTTGGGGGGGAATCCTCCTTTCTTCAGATTTTCTTCACTATTCATCTGTACATGGCCAACATTTGTAATATGGATTCTCTACTCGGTGATCTATGAATAAATATACAACACCACTAGGTTGTCCGGTGCCTTTATTTCCTCACTGAATGATGGGTGGACACCTCTTAAAGTGTAGTTTTGATTGAAATTTTGTAGTTTAATCATGCCATGAATTTCTTGCACGTGCACAAAAACACACATGCCTCTCATACTTTGTTTTAATAACCTGTATACAGTTATATTTACATATGCAGCCGTTATCTCACATTATCCCTCTGTAATTCAGTCTTCATCTTTTTGGCTTTTTCTTTTTTTTCACTCAATCAGATTCATTATTAAAATATTTTAACATAATTTTATATTGATAAAGCATCTGTTGGCAAAGTATTTAACACGACACTAAGGACAGGGTTTAAAAAAATAATAATATTAATGTTTTTTTAAACATTTTTTTCGTCCACTTTGTTGAAAATAACCAAAAATTAAAGGACTTCAAAGCAAACTTGGTACAGCTTGCTTGGGTGCTTTTCAGTATGTATGTGACATGAAGGATATCTCATATATAGCACATAATATAAGAGTTAATATATTATTTATCAGTCTAATTAAAAAAAAAGAGAGAAAAAATAACAAAAGTGAAAATGTTTTCATAGGTTGCTAACGCTCACCCTACTTTTCTCATATTTGTCCACTCTTTACAATTATAAAGACCGAATATGACTAAACAAAAATGGCTGAAACTTTTTATTCTAAAGTTGATGCTCTCTTCAACTGTAAGAGTGGCCCACTGTTTCTTACGCCAAAAAAATAACAAACGGAGCACAAGGGCCTTTCCTCAGCTCTTGTAAAAAAAATTGTAAAATTTGAACTCTTTTCACGACCGCTGCTTGAAAACTTCTGTGTCATTTTATTTAAGTAGGTTATTTTTAAAAAGAAAAAAAGAGAGGCTATTCGACTGGAGCCGTACACTCTTGACATTGTGTCATTCCTCTTAATCTTAGATGGAATTACTGGACCACTAAGTGATGGGGTTCCACTTAATTGGTGATTTTTCAGAAATAACTGTTACTTCTACTTCCATTCTATGCAGAATTTGAGGCTTTTCCAATGAACACAATCTACTAAATACGGTACAAAGACTTCTTTTTCCAATTGTATTTGGTTTTATGACCGTGTGGCTTTAATGTTACAGTAAAATAATAGTTTAATGGGGTTTGTGGAAGGCAAGTGACCGCTCATGGTTTCATTATTATGTTCAGAATGTTTAATCCCCACTCCACCCTGGCAAGGCCACTTCTGAATTAAAAGCTTAGTATCGGACGCATCTGGATGATTTTTAAACCCTGTTTCCTCCTGCGTTACTAAAATAATGATGTACCTGAAAGGCCCCTTAATCCACAGAAAGTGGAAACACACCCAGAACTTTGAGTTGTTTTTATTAATATCACTTTGACATCAGTACAGAGACCACATACTTTTTTCAGTTTTCTTTTCTTCCTGCAACATCTTTCCAAAAGCTTCAAAAAAACGGGAACAAAATTAGTCATCGCTAATACAAAACTGAGCAGAAGTTAGTGAACAACGTCTAGACACTCATGAAAGAGTTCAAAGCAAAAAGAAATGACAACAAATCGGACACCTTCTTACTCCCTTAACCGAAGTAAAAACACCAACGGGAAAAGAATAGCAACATGCTGTGAAGGAACAGGAGAAAAATCGATAGTTTCATGAATATATCTTACAATCTAAACAAATAAGCCAACTTGGTGATGGACTAAGCCTTGGCAGCATTTAAACACGGGTAACATGGACTGGTTTCACTTGCAGGTGCCGTGCATTCGGATAGCTCTCAGAGCACAAACACCCGTCTGGTGAGGTGTGTACACATCCACATTTCAACATGCAGGGATGGAAATCCGTTCGAAACCCACCAGAGCCGAGGACTACATTTACAAACAAGTTCTGGATGATATAACTGGTGTGTGCTGCCCACAGAACTAGTTCCTACCTGTGCTACTTTCCTATACATAAAAAATAGTCTTCAAAATGAAAATAGCTCATATAAATACTGTGGATCGTGTGTTCTCTAGTTTAACTCGAGTGTGAAGAGCGTGCTATTATTTTTTTTTTGGTAATAATTTACCCTACTGATGCTGTTGTTTAAGATGCTTTAAGAAAAGAACACGTTGTCAACAGTACTTATAGGCACTACCTCCTATGCAGAGAGGGCTCAAAGGCAAACACGGGGAAAGGGGAAGGCTTTCTACACTCTCTTAATATGGTTGGTCTTGGCAATCTGTCCTGTGTCAATAAATAATCAAATAAAACTGAAACATTTACCTGACGTGAGTCTACTTAATTTGCAGTCGTTGACCTTAACCTCTGAAATAACCAGAAAGGATCAAGAATCCAGCACAATAGAGTGACGTTGAATCAGAAGGAAAACATGGATTTTAAAGCCATAACATGCAACCTTTTCACATTCGAATAAATAATCAACAATAATGTCATCATCTCCACTTTTAAGATGTCCTCAGCCTTAGACAGCCATCAGAAAAGTTGCATACTGCAGCTTTAGCAGTCTGAATGATGACTGGTGACGTTCACAGTGAAACGACCTGCCTGCGTTGGCCTTTCAGGATTCAGGAGATTTATGCAAACTTCAGGAAATAGAAAGCGACGCTAACACGTGTGGCGTGACGTTAATTTCTGTACATGTAAATAAATTTGAATTGAATTGAACATGTCAATCCCTTAAACAATATGGAGATGTAGCTTTTGGGTCAGCATGGGACTTCTTTTTGAGTAAAAAAAAAAACAAAAAAAAACGCACACAAACCAGAACAATGTCAAAATACTTAACTTAAACAATTCAGGGTCTGCTTTAGCTTTACATCCTCCTTTTTAATTCAATGCAACTTTTTCCACGGTAAATTATATTCAAAGCACATTTTTCCCTCATCAGTTTTGAATAGTCACAAGAGCATATTGGGTTAGCCGTTTTGGGATTTAAGATTTAGGGATTCAGGCAACTCAGGGTGCCTCTTAACCTATGAGTTAATTTCTAATTTGGCTACTGAAAGCTACACGTTTGAAATGATGATCTTCAACAACACTTAACACAACTTAAAATGCTGTTATCGAGCTAGAAGGGAGTCAAAGCAGCCATCCTATTTTTATTATCAGTAACAGTTATTCATAGTAATAATCAAAAATACACAAGCAAATATGACGCCTCAACGTTTTGTGGACTTAATAGGTGTAAAACTAGTTGGGATACTGAGTGAGGGAACTTTTCTTCAGTATAAAAAGCGACGCTAAAGTGTTTCATTGCAGAGAAAGCCTGTAGTTGTCTTAAGGTTTATATACATAAAAAAAAACAGCTGAAAGAATGCATCCTGAACAGAAGAGGGTGAACTAGACCAAATTATCACAGCTGGTGCAGTGTTTTCAAATCCTTTTATTTCAACCTGCTGATGGATTTAAAGAAGACAAAATGAAAAAAGTTCAGTGCATTGCAGAAACTCGCATACATGGCCTGTAAAGCGGAACTAAGTCGAATGGATCTGTGAAAGCAAACCCCTTTTCCTATTTCTGAAATGAAATCAAACACTCTGTATCCATACAGCGACTGTTGATAAAGAGGGCGGGATGGGACTAGCCACAATAACAGCCAAAGGTTGCTTTTCACTCCCTTTTCTCATCTTTGTTTTCACTTTTGTTTCTTTTTTAAGCTCGATTCATCTTATTTTCTGAGAATAATGTGTTTAAGTTTGTTTTCCGTACAGACATTTGCTTTTTTTTTTTTGTGTGACAGCCGCCATCCACCCTGTGCTTGCTTGGCATCTCCAGACCAGGTCATAAATTCAGTCTAGTTCACTCGACCCTGCATCCGTCCCACTGTGGCGGGCCGGATTTGCTGCAGTGTTGCATCACTTCCTCGCCAGCGTCCGGCCTCCCGCCTGCACCGGCGCAGTTCTTTTGTAATGCTTGCAAGTTAGGATGCGCAGTAGTTTTAAATCGAACATCGAAAAAGCTCAGAGGTTTTTTCTACCTAGCGAGGGTCTGTGACAGTGGAGGACGTGGGGAGGGGGGAGTTAGACTTGGGGGCCGGGGCGAGATAGGGGGGCTTGTTGAGATGGTGATGGTAATGACGATGACGGTGACACAAAGATGGCGGATGGGGATCATTCAGTTTTACTGCGCTTCGCAGCTCCGGGGAGTTTCTCTTGCAATCTGTGAGAGAAAAAGCACAATAGGTGAAAAAAACAAAACAAAAACCAAAAACTGTGGGGTGAACTACTGAAACAGCATTATATAAATTATAAAAAGGCCAGAAGATTTGTGCATAAACAGAGAGAAGCACATTGAGTTAAATGGTACTATGTGAGAATGATAAAAAAAACACAAACAGAAAACACCCCCCCCCCCCCCCCCCCAACCAAAAAAAAAGCTTATTCAAGCAGCCATATCCATGTGGAAATTGATCTGTTCTATGGACAGAGTTCTTCTAAGCAAAAGCAGCCCAGAACGGGCTTTAGGATTTAGTCATTTGTTTTTTTTAAACTGCTCTGGAAATATTAGAGCATGTATAACCTGGGTAATTCTTCAAATCGTAAAATTTGATTATCATTGTGTCATCATGCATGAATCATGAATGGTGTTCATTTATTTTGATTACTTTACAGTGAACTGGATTCCATGTATCTTCCCTTGTATCTTGAGATGACATTTGTTGTGCGTTTGGCTGTTATTTATATATATATATATATATATATATATATATATATAAAAATGTTTTAACTGAATA